GGCCAGGGACAGTCCCAGGCCATTTTCCGTGATCATTTTGTTCAGTCCTCACAAACACTGTGTGCAGGATGTCATTGCCGTCACCGGAGAGCTCCCCGTAATCTCCTGAGGTAGCATGGGAGGTGGGATCTGAACCTAGCACACTGCTGCTGCTCTCTTAAAATACAGTGTGCTGAGAGCAGAGTATTGTGCAAATACAGCCTTTTTTTTTTTTTTTGACAAATGTTTTTGGAGTACCCAAGTAAAAGCCTTTTAAAACGGCTTTAAGAGGCAAAAACCAAATAAGTGTACCTCTAAGGCCCTGGTGAACAACATTAGTCAGAAATTTAGACAGTGATTATATACAAGGACATCATTGTCATCATCCTAAGACTTTACTGTATAAACACATAAAGGAGGGAAGCAAGGTGACTGCTTTTCCTCTACTCTAATACTCAACACAAATGTAAATACACTTAGCTAATAATATCTCTTATGAATCATTGTTTGTGTGTAGCTGATGCAATTGTTCACCCGCAGTCACCTTGCACTACTACATACACCCCAGGACACAGGAACATGGCTCATCTTATTTTCCTCTGCAGTCCCAACTGATAAGACAGTATTTGGGCAAAAGGCAAAAATGGAACAATTGAGTTTAACGGTCTGGTCTTTGTTTCTTATTCGAGGGTTGGGGAGTATTTCATCCATGAAATAGAGGGGTTCTAATGAAATGAACAGAGGAAGTTAGCTTTGTGGACAGAAGGGGGCTGAAGAGATTAATGTGGTCTAAGATTATAATCTTAGCATTCTGGAGGTTGAGGCAGGAGCATCTTGGGTTGAGCCAGCCTTGGCTACATCACGAGGCTTTCACCAAGTAAAACAATAACTTCCCTGTCCAAAAAAAAAAGAGAGAGAGAGAGAGAGAGAGAGAGAGAGAGAGAGAGAGAAAAGAAAAGAAAAGAAAAGAAAAGAAAAGAAAGTAGAATGAATAGTCACTGTGCAAAATCAGAGAAACAAAGCAGTAGAAAATATAGCTGACTGGTTAGCAAGACTTAAGACAGAGGGATGTTCATTACCAAGCCAGTTAAGGCTGCTAGAGTCTCTGTCATGCAGCCTCCTTAGCAGCTCCTAACTTAGAGATGGTTGGAAGAGCAGTTGTACATGCTGCAGGAGGCAAATGGTTCTTTCTTCCTCAAATTATATCCTGCGAACACACAGTGGGAGTTACTATCACTAAGAAGCATTTACATCAAGCAGTATTGATGTGCATTGGGTTCTGACATGCCATACTCAGTTTGACCCTGAAGATAGCCAGTATGACACCTGGCTACACCAGAGGGGATGGCTCCGTTATTTCAAGCTGGAGAGAGACCCTCAGAAGCAGACAAAATGACATCAGAGGACTTTGTGGCCCACTTATAGCATTGCTGAGACAGCCACTGGGAATATCACAAACCAACAGCAGGAGGAGGGGCTATCGTGGAGCCATGTGGGTGTGGTCTATTCGAGTAGAGTAGGACCCATAGCTTGGGTCACTGTGGTCTGGGGAGGTTACAATGGACAAGGTAGCATGGGCAGAGGAGAGCAGTGTGGATGTACTAAAGTCGAAGCCACCAACATGCAAGTCCCTCACCTATATCTGGTCTCCTTGACTTTCTTCAGATTTCATTTTGTACTTTAAGGACTTGATGATGATTGAAGAAATATGCTTTCAAAGTATTATTTGACTCAGGAAGAAACAGGCTGATTACAAAATCCAAGCACAGAGATGGGGGCTGTGGGTACAAAGTCCCAGCACTAACTAAAGATGTGAGGCCTTTGACAACTGACAGGAGAGGGAGGGTCTGCTTTCTTTAAGGGTGTGGCCTTAGTATGTCAACAAGCAGGCCACACCCACAGGTGGTTGGGCTACATAAACTGAACTCAACAGGTTTTTTTAAAAAAAAAGGACAGGGTAGAAAAACAATTTACAGATTCAATGCAATGCCCATCAAAATCCCAGCAAAATTTTTCACAGACCTCAAAAGAACAATATTCAACTTCATATGGAAAGCAAAAAACATAGGATAGCCAAAACAATTCTGTACAATAAAGAAACTTCTGGAGGCATCACAATCCCTGACTTCAAACTTTACTACAGAGCTACAGTATTAAAGACAGTCTGGTATTGGCATAAAAACAAACAGGAGGATCAATGGAACTGAATAGAAGACATGGATATAAATCCATACATTTACAAACACCTGATTTTTAACAAAAAAGCAAAAAATATAAAATAAAAAAAGAAAGCATATTCAATAAATGGTGCTGGCATAACTGAATATCAACATGCAGAAGAATGAAAATAGATCCATATCTATCGCCATGCATAAAACTCATGTCCAAATGGATCAAAGACCTAAACATAAAGGCAACCACACTGAACCTCATAGAAGAAAAAGTAGGAAGTACACTTGAACACATTGGCAAGGAGACCACTTCCTAAATATAACCCCAGTAGCACAGACAGTGAGAGAAACAATTAATAATTGGGACCTCCTGAAACTGAGAAGCTTCTGTAAAGCAAAGGACATGATCAAGAAGACAAAATGGCAGCCTATAGAATGGGAAAAGATCTTTTCCAACCCCATATTGGACAGAGGACTGATCTCCAAAATATACAAAGAACTCAAGAAATTGCTCATCAAAAGAATATATAATCCAGTAAAAAAAAATGGGGTACAGAACTCTCAACAGAGGAATCTAAGATGGCTGAAAGAGACTTAAGGAAATGCTCAATATCCTTAGCCATCAGAGAAATGCAAAACAAAACAACTATGAGATTCCATCTTTAATATAGGAGGTTCTTCTGTATTTGTATTGCTTTCATTGGTTAATCAATAAAGAAACTGCTTGGCCCAATAGGGCAGAACTTAGATAGGCAGAGAAGACAGAACAGAATGCTGGGATGAAGGGAAGTGTGGCAGATGCCATGAATCTCCAGCCTGAGATGGACATAGGTTAGAATCTTGCTGGTAAGCCACAGTCACGTGGTGATACACAGATTTAATAGAAATGGGTTAATCAAGATGTGAGAGTTAGCCAATAAGAGGCTAGAGTTTATGGGCCAAGCAGTAATTTAATTAATACAATTTCTGTGTGGTTATTTTGGGACTAGGTTAGCCAGGCGGCGGGCCGCGGCCTGTACCTCCTACAACAGATTGGCACCCAACATGGGGCTCTAACCCATGACCTTGAGATTAAGAGTCTCATGCTCTAATGATTGAGCTAGCTGGGCGGGACGGAACAAAGGGTCCCGCGCTCCTTACAACACATCTTATACCTGTAAGAATGGCCAAGATCAAAAACACTGATGGCAATTTATGCTGGAGAGGTTGTGGGGAAAAGGGAACACTTCTGCATTGCTGGTGAGAGTGCAAGCTGGTTCAACCCCTTTGGATATCAGTACGGCGATTTCTCAGAAAATTAGGAAACAACCAACCTCAAGACCCAACAATACCACTTTGGGGTGTATATTCAAAGGATGCTCAATCGTACTACAAAGACATGTACTCAACTATGTTCATAGAAGCATTGTTTGTCATAGCCAGAACCTGGAATCAACCTAAATACCCCTCAACCAAAGAATGGATAAGGAAAATGTGGTACATTTACACAATGGAGTACTATACAGTAGAAAAAAATGACGTTTTAAAATTTGCAGGCAAATGGATGGACCTAGAAAATATCATATTGAGTGAGGTAACCCAGACCCAGAAAGACAAATATCATATGTCACCAAGAAGTGGCTTTTAGACATAAAACAAAGAAAATCAGCCTACAAATCACAACCCCAGAGAACCTAGACAACAATGAGGACCCTGAGAGAGACATACATGGATCTAATATACATGTGAAGTAGAAAAAGACAAGATCTCCTGAGTAAATTGGAAGCATGGGGACCATGAGAGAGGGTAGAAGGGGAGGGCAGAGGATGTCAGGGGAGTAAAGAAAAATATATAACTCAATAAAAACAATAAAAAAGATAGAGTAGAGTAGGGGAGGGAGGGAAGGGTGCATCTGGTAGAAGTGGAGAGTGGGTGTAACCAAATTATAATGGGTGAAATTCTCAAAGAATTAATAAAAATATGAAAAAGCCTCCAAAAGTAGAATAATTCCCTGGGAAAATGGGGAAATTATATCATAACTGAACATATGCCAATATCTAAAAACCAGCTTTCATTTGAAATGGCACAAGAGGTGACCTGAGATTAAAGGTGAGGCAGTTGGGGGGCACTCACCGCAATCCCTGCACTGGGGCAGGAGAATTACGAAGCCATAACTACCGAACTGGAATGTTCGCCGCACAAAATTACCGAGTGAAATTTATCAATAACAGATGAAACAATCAAGAAAATGAATACCTCAGTAGATGAATGAGAAAAATCAGTAATAGACAATTCATTGAAGAAAGTTATAAAGGTTAATGAATGTACAATAACGATAATTAAATACAGCTAAATGGAATAAATTCTTTCAAGTTGAAGACTGTAAAAGGAGAATCCCTAGTCTTGATGAATTCATAGTGAGACTGCTTCTGAATATAAATTTGACAACATTTATCAGGAATCTTAAAATTTTTGTAGCTTTTGCCCTCAATAAAGTCAGGAATCTACCCTAAGGAATTTCAGAAATGCCAAAGACAAGCTATATCAGAAATGCAAAAGCAAAGTTTGTATAATGAAATAAATGCAAAAATATGCGTAGGTCTGACATTAGAGAAACTTAAATATTACAGAATATTATACAGCCTCACAATTAAGTTTACAAAGAGCTTTGTCAAAATGACCTAGAGCATTAAAAAAAAAAACAAAACAGAAGGAAATCGGTCCTATATTTTAAGAACTGAAAAGGCGGTTTGGGAGAAGCCTTCACGTGCAGCAAGATCGCCTAAACCTGAAGCAATAGAGGAACCGAGAAGACGGATTGGGCCAGGATAGGAAGCGGAAGAATATGCGGCCTAAGTTGCCTATGATATCTGTTGGTGTCACAACTTTGGCCGCAACTGAGTTTGAACACCACCGGAAGGAACTTCCTGTGGAGGCAACGGAAGACTAAGACATGGCTGCTTCAGCCCCCGGGGCCTATGTAAGGTTTGGCTGTATGGTTTCGCTTAGGGTCCAGCTGGCAGATGTCTGTGGTTTTCCCTACATCTCTCAGCAGCCTGCAAACAGCAGAAGCCAGTACGTCAGAGGCTGACAGACATGAATGTTGGGTAAATTCAAGTTTGGAACCGGGCGGAGGGAAGTGGGCGGAAGTCAGGGTATTGATGGCATCTGGGGATGCTTGTCTGAGCTATCAGTTGTTCAACAGAAAGTCATTAAACATGTACTGTGAGCTGTGTACCAGGCACTGGCTCACTGGCACCTGGGAGTGTATCAGGAGCAAATATAACACAAAGTGCTACCCCTGGGGATGGCTGGCAAGGGGAAACAGACTTCATAACAAGCTCCATAGGCTTGTGTGTAGGAAAAGCCCCAAACTGCACGTATTTATTTTAAACCCTTTCCCTCCCTTAACTATTTCTGAGTTATTTGGATTATTTCTGATAATGTGTATAAAAACATGTATAAAATATGTATAAAAGGTGTTGGCAGTCCTTTTCCTGCTTTGATCTCTGAGCAAGCGCTGAGTGGGCACAGCAAAAAGTAAGAGAGAAATGCCCAATGAACTAGTTACAAAATAGTGATTGCTTGGCACATGTGCCAAAAGCTGCCTTCTTTCGAGGGCTGAGGGTGTGTCTGAGTGGCGGGGCGCTTACCTAGTGCACACAAAGCCCCTGGATATGTTCTTGTAACTGGTACCCAGCAAATTAATAGCATAAGCAAATGTAGAATTGTGCCGAATATGGTGATTGCAACTTTATCGGATGATAACACCCATCCACATGAAATGCATTGAGTGGGGGAGGGGTGGAGTCAGAGAGGGTAAACATCAGAAAACTCACTACTGCTGACTGCCTCTTTTCTTTATTTGTATCTAACTTGTTTACCTTTGAAATGGCTGGTGACTGCTGGGCTCCCTGGTCCACCACAGTGATTCTAGCTCAGGCACCCTGGTGCATGCTAGTGATTCTAGGGTGGGCACCCTGGTGCGTGCCAGCGATTCCAGCTCGGGAGGCTGAGACAGAAAGATTTCAAGTTCTAGGCTAGTTGGTCTAAGAAGACAACAAACAAAATTTTAAAAAGCAAATAAAAGTCAAAGGACTATTTACTCAGTTCACCCCCCCCAGTGCTGGCTTAAGTACAGTCCTGATAGAAAGGGCGGGAATACAGTGGGCAAAAAAGGCAAAAGGTTATGGACTACCTGGGATAAAGTAGGAAGGCTTGAAAATACACCCCCACGGAGTAAATACCAAAAAAAGAGAAGGAAAGTTTTTTAAACAAATATATTTTGCTTATTAGCTCAGCAGTTTCAAAAAAGTTTGGCAAGGTAGGACTAAAAATTTAGCAAACAAAAGAACAACTCCGAGATAGGGGCTGGAGAGATGGCTCAGCAACTGAGAGCACTGGCTGCTCGTTCAAAGGACTAAGTTCGTGTTCAGCATTCACATCCCTCCTACGTCAAGTACAGAACCCGAGTCGGAATGTTGCTGATAGGGAGACGCTGACTGCTCCCTTTCAAGGATATTTCATTTGCTTGCCAAAGAATCTTTTTTTAAAAAGGTAGGCTGGTGAACAGGGTCCTGGCATGTGTCTGTGAGCCCCAAAATGGGCCAGGGAAGCATTAAACCGAATTAGATTGTCCCTAGATGACATGTAAGAACACTAGCATAAAAAGTATAAAAAGCTTTTACGTCTGTCTCAATGATTTCATCTCTGCCAGTTCAGATGAGCGTCCTCTGCCTTGGTGCTGATAAACCCCGACATGTGAAGTGAAGCAAGCCATTTCCGTGGCGTTCAGGAATGGAAACGGAGGTGTCAGAGGTGCATGGAAAGCAGAAATGGAGAAATGCTGTCCACCCTAAGAGCTGCTGTTTAAAAATATATCTGTTATATTTATCCGTGATATCTGCCAAGAGGGCTGTGCACTAATACAGTGGGCCTTGTGAAGTATTGGTCCTGTCGAGCCGTTTGCTCTGATGCTGCAAATGGCTCCAAGTGCAGAGGCTGTGTCTAAGACTAGCTTTCTAAACTGCACTTTCAAGGTAATCACAAAAGTCCCTGTTGGAAGGAACCTTAAAGGCCTTCGGTCCCAAACCCGCTGGTCAGTGGAGGTGATACCATGACCCAGAGTGAGGAGGTAACCTGCTAAAGTCAAACTGGCGATTTATGTCAGGGCCCAGAAGAGATCCGAGACCTCTGAACTGCGGCTAGAGGCCTTTCTCCTGCCCTGCAAGGACCCGCTTAGTGAACTGCCCTGCTGTCTGAAAGCTCGCCTGCATGGGTCACCCTCTCATGGTGCTGGGGACAGGTCCATCCTGAGAAGTACAGCTCTCATCCTACGGGGAGGAGCCTGGACTTACAGGGTCACACAAACAGGCACGTTCTGAGTTTTTGCGCCTTTCTCTTTCCTTAAAAGAATAAGAAATTTCCTTGTCTTTTTTTTTTTTTTAAATAACGAGCCTGTTATTTCTTTTGTGTTTTCTAAGAAACTAAATCATTTTAAGAAGGACTTCAGGGGCCGGGTTATGAACAGGCCTCATCCTCATACAAGCAAGGCAAGCACTCTGCCTGCTGAACTACATACAGCTCTACTGATAATTCTCTATATTTTAACGCGCCAAGACGTGATAATTTGTTTTTTATTGCTTAGAAGGGACCTTGGCTGGCCTGGAGGCTTGCTACCTAGATCAGACTGAGCTCAGACTGGCAGGATGATTCGCCTGCCTCTGCCATGTGCTGCAACTAGAGGCTTGTGCCGCTATGCCTGACTGAGACGTGATTCTTTTTCCTCCAGTGCTGGTTTAGATTTAAACACGTGCTGCTTTCTTTGCTCTCTTCTGACCTCCGCTGGCACTAGATAAGCACGTGGGACATATAAATACAGACAGGCAAAACATCAATACACATAAAGAAAAACTAAATAGAGAATATGAGGGACTATACTGTTAGATGGACTCTGCCTTCGCCAAGTCCAGAGACGGAAGTTTAGTCAGCCTCGGAGACGGGGCCGTGACCCTGGGGCTCCTGGGAAGCCAGTGAAGCAGCAAGGAAGTGTTGTCCGAGTTGTCCTGGAGAGTCCCCGGCCTGGAGGCCTGGGGAGCAATTCTAGTTCCCTAAGGCTCCCTTCGGAAGGCATTTGCTGGGTGCTCTAAGGCTCTGATGCTTTGCTCTCTTCTCTGGGATTCTGGGTGCCGTTAGCAGAAGCAGCTTCTTCCTTTAAAGGACGGAGCGGTTGATTTATACTTTTAACGGCTGGACAAGTTCGCGGCTGTAGAAGAGTTTTTATCGTCCGTGGCTGTGAAACCCAGAAGAGGGCTTGTTGGTCCCGTGGTAGCTCCATAAAGCCAAGGATGATGCCAGAGTGGCAGGAGAGGACAAAGGTCATCCAGTGGCCAAGCAATGCAGGTGAGGGAAGCCCTGCCTACAAACCAGCTTCTCCATCTGAGGAACTGAGGAGGTACAGATATGGGGGAGGAACAATGACGTGAGGGGGCGAGGAAGGCTAGTAAAAGGGAAGAGAGTGATGGAGGGAGGGGGGGGGGGAGGGAGGGGGGAGGGGGGGAGGGAAGGGGGGAGGGAGGGAGGAAGGGAGGGAGGGAAGGAGGGAGGGAGGGAGGATCTTTCAGGAACTAGGGTGCCACCCCTTTCAGGACACCATGTTTCTGGCCGTGGTAGCTGGGAGGTATCTATGCTCTCAGCCCATTGCGGGTGGTGTCACCCAGCTAACACGCCTGGGTTCTGTAAGAAAGCAGGCTGAACAAACCATGGGGAACAAGCCAGTAAGCAGATCCCCTCCTTGTCCTTTCCATCATTTCCTGCCTCCAGGTTCCTGATCTGTTTGAGTTCCTCCTGTTCTGCCTTTCTCCCATGATGAACTGTGATGTGGAAGAGTAAGCCAAATAAACCTTCCTCTATAATTGCTGACCCAAGAGCAATGCATAGATATTTGCAGGTGTATTATAATAATCATTTCCTGAAGATAGCAAAAACAGAGATGGGAAGCAGTCTTATAAAATGAGTATACACCATAAAGTTGAACACAATGTATGGATATTGCTTGACAAACGATGATGTTTGCAGTACTGTTTGCTGTCTGGGTCAGTTGGGGTCAGGGACTTAATCCCTTGTAAACTCTGCTAAAGAGTTCTGTAAAGCAGCCCATCCACTCCCCATGGATGCTTTCTATGGTGTTCAATAAAAGAGAGAGTAAAGCCCTTTGTTAGGGGACAGGCGTGGGCGGACACATTCACACAGACACTCTCAGACACAGGAACAGATTCCCAAGCCAGCCTTCAGGCAGGCACGGATTCAGACTCGTCCCACAGACAGACATACAGGACAGAAGAACAAAGTAGAGTGATCAAAGGAGCAAAGAGGATGCTGTCGACCTGGAGGAGGTTGACAACGGATATGTCAGGAGAGCTGAGGAAGAAGGGTCAGTGTAACCTGGACATGTTAAGAAGTAACTGCATCCACCTTTGACGTGATTGATAAAAAGCCGTTCTGTTTTGAAAACAGCTGGTAGGTGAGGTAAGGCTGATGGGACCATCTAGGCTTAGTGCGGCCTCAGACAAAGCTCTTTTCACTGCCCGTGTCTCATGGCTTGCGATTTCCATCATGGGCTATCCTATGAGAAAATTATTTCCCCCCAGATAGTTAAGATAGACCTGTGACTGAAGGAGCTCATAGTATCTCAGATTCCCCAGACAGCTAGCCCCAGGTTGTGTCTCTTCCACGTGACCTTACCCCACAGCCCTAACCACTCAAGTCCTTGAGTTCCTCCTCCAATTCCCTCCCATCTGTTCTTTTTCCCAACTCCCATATCATTGTTTACATTTGGGCAGTGTGGTCCCCAGGACCATTTCCTTGACTCCGGTCTCCCCACACCGTGATCTCCACCACCTGCTGTATCGACTGAACACTGCTAATTCTGTATCCAAAAATCATTACTAGTTTGCTTGCTCCTTTGAAATCTTGTCTTCGGGGCTCCTTGTGAACTAATTCCAGCTGCCCGTTTAAGTTTTGTGTGGTGGGGATTTAACCAGGATGCAGACTAAACAGCTGTGAGGAAATGACCTCAATTCTGGTAACATAAAAAGGATGGATGGTCAGCGTTCTCCCTGGGCCTCCATAGTGTTGGGATTGGGATGTTGGGTGTGCATCACTGTGCTTTGCTTCTTTCTCACTTCTTGATCTGAGGCCTCCATTGTTTCCTACCCCTCAAACATCAGAGAAACTTTTTTTTTTTCCTGAGATGCTTAGATCTGAGGAATTAGGCCACGGTCCTACCCACATCCTTTTCTGTCCGCCCCCCAGCCTCTGGATTCCGGCTGAACGGCATGGTCAACTCTCCTGGGTCTCAAAATTGCAGATGGAAGATCGTGGGACTTCTTGGCATCCACAGTCACATGAGCCATTTCCAATAAAAGCAGCAGTGTGTGTGTGTGCATGCACACGCATGTATGAGTGCCCTTGCACACAGTTGGTGCAATTGGCTCTATGTCTCTCAGATCCATGACCATTATCTACACAAACAAGTTGGTATTCTAAGAAGTTAATTGATTTGTTAATAAACTGAGATAAAGGTATCCAGATGTATTTGTGTACTTGGGAAATACAGCAAGAGCCTTTTCATGTCTTCAATGTCATCCAGAACTACATAGAAAGTACCAGGGAAGCCAGGGCTACGTAGCAAGACCCAAACCAAAGAGAAGGAGAGGGTGTTTTGATGTTACCTGGTACTACATCTGTCTTAGTTAGGGTTTTATTGCTGTGAAGAGACACCATGACCATGACAACTCTTATAAAGGAAAACATTTCATTGGGGCTGGATTATAATTCAGAGGTTGTGTCCCTTATCCTCATGGTGGGAAGCATGGCCGCACACAGGCAGGCATGGTGCCGGAGAGGAGCTGAGAGTTCTACATCTGGATCCACAGGCAGTGGGAAGAGACTGTGAGCCTCCTAGGCCTGGCTTGAGCTTCTGAGACCTCTAAGCCTGCCTCTAGTGACATGCCCCCTTAACAAGCCCACACCTCCCAATAGCGCCAGTCCCTATGAGCCTAAGAGGCCATTTTTGTTCAAACTACCAGTGCCCAGCAGTTCATTCTTCCTTTCAGAAGGAGAAGTACTTTTCACTCATCCATGGGCTTGCTGTCAGGATGAGGCTGTACTTTCATACCCAAAGGTAATGTGCAAACACATTCATCCTTCAAAGTTACTTTCAGTTAGCTATATTAGTAAGTGACAAGCAACACCAAGAGTGACGTGAGTGCCCCCGTGTTTTAAATTAATCAGCACACACCCTTGGGGTTGGCTTAGAGACTGAAAGATTTGCACAGTATCCTGGCTACACGGTTGATAAACATGCTCTTCATTAGTTAACTCTTAATGGAGAAGTCATGTAAAAGCCTGTAAATGACCACATGAATTATGTATAAAGGACTCAACTCAAGCCATGCATATAAAATAGACATTACAACCCAACCCTGGCTTTATTATTCTTTTATAAACAGTTCCACGCAAGGCTCACTAGCACAGCCATAGCCGTTTTCTGGCACAAAAATAGAGTTTGAACGACTGGTTTGAACCAATTTACAAAAGGGAGACAGCTAACTAAGAAAATAAAGCTTTTAAATGCAGCTGACATCTGGCTAATAATTATACTAACGCCTCTTAAAACTCACGATATCTTGCATAATGTTCTGTACATTCGGTGACTTGTGAAAGAGGATCCCGCCTTTGCCCATTTCGCTAAGGAAAACGAATTTTAGATTGGTGCATAATTTGTTGAGGCGCTCGGAGGGACCCTGAGGGACCCATGACTGGACTAGTTCAGGAGTCCGGGAGAAATAGCACAAGCAGGGGGTGGCTGGGAGTGTGGTGAACATCACGCCTGGGGACCGGAGGTGCTGAGATGGCTCCGCACTGAGTGGATAGCCAAAGACAGATGTCCCAGGCCAGACAGAAGAAACTCCTCCTTCCTCTGTCCTTTGTTCAAACGCTCAAAGAATTGGATGGTGCCAGGCTGCAGGGGTGAGGTCAGCTAGCTTTACACACAATCTGTTGATGTGAATACTCGCCTCTTTCAGAAACAACCTCATAATACCCCTGGAAACAATATTTTGCCAATTATCTGTGCAACAGTGATATTGATCTTTTATTACATCCTAGTGATCTGTGTGTGCATGCGTGCATGTGTGTGTGTGCGCATGCGTGCATGTGTGTGTGTGTGTGTGTGTGTGTGTGAGCAATCACAAGCGTGGCTGTGCATGCGTCACAGCACACGTGTGGAGGTCAGGGAGCAGCTTGAGTGAGTCAGTTCTCTCTGTCCACCGTGCACTGTGCAGGTCCCAGGAATAGGACTCAGATCATCCAGCTGAGCTTTCCAGCTGGCCCTGGGATGCTAATCTTTATTATTCTGCTGATGGAAATCAACTGAGAGTCACCAAGGAGACAATCTCTAAATATCTCTGTGAGCACAATTCCAGAGAAATCTAACAGAAGCGAGAAAAAAAAAAAAAAACAAAAAAAACCCCTCACTCTAAAGGAAGGTGCTGCATTCCCTGGGGGGAAGATAACCTGTCAGCATTTACTCCCCTCTGCTTCCTCATTATGGGGTACTGAGACCAGACTCTGCGAGCACCTGCTGCCGAGACTTCCCTGCCATGATGCCCCCTCAGATTGTGGGTCCAAACAGTCCTCCTTCACACTAAGTGGATTTTGTCAGGGTGATTTTGTTTGTTTGCTTGTTTTTTATCACAGTGGCAGAAAGAGCCATGACGCAGGGCCTGCATCTACTTAAGGTCCATTATGCTTCCTCCTTTTGTCTAGAGCTACCCTATCCTTTTGTCCAGAGCTACCCTATCCTTTTGTCTAGAGCTACCCTATCCTTTTGTCCAGAGCTACCCTATCCTTTTGTCTAGAGCTACCCTATCCTTTTGTCTAGAGCTACCCTATCCTTTTGTTCAGAGCTACCCTATCCTTTTGTCCAGAGCTACCCCATCCTCCTTTTGTCCAGAGCTACCCCATCCTCCTTTTGTCCAGAGCTACCCTATCCTCCTTTTGTCCAGAGCTACCCCATCCTCCTTTAGTTCAGAGCTACCCCATCCTTTTGTCCAGAGCTACCCCATCCTTTTGTCCAGAGCTACCCTATCCTTTTGTCCAGAGCCACCCTATCTTCCTTTTGTCCAGAGCTACCCCATCATCACCCTATCTTTGCTTTGTGTGCCTCTAGTCATTTCCACTTTTTTTAAAATTTTTAAAACTGTTTCATTTCTTTTTTTTCTTTTTTTTTTTTTCAGACAGGGTCTCACTTTGTAGTCCTGACCGGGCTGGAACTCACTGGGTAGACCAGACTGGTCTGGAACTCACAGAAACCTGCCTGTCTCTGCTCTGAAGTGCTGGGATTAAAGGCCTGTGCCCTCACACCCTACACTCATTTCTTATTAAATGTCACTTCCCCTGAGGTCCTTTCCTTGACAGCCCAGTCTGAGTTAGGAGTCAGTGCATAACTTAGGGTTTTTTTCTTCTTTTTTTCTGCCAAATTTCCTTTGTTAATTTGTTCATCTTTCCCTCCCTCCTTCCCTCCCTTCTTCCTCCCTCCCTCCCTTCTTCCTTCCTTCCTTCCTTCCTTCCTTCCTTCCTTCCTTCCTTCCTTCCTTCCTTCCTTCCTTTTCTGTTCTATCTAATACCATGTTTGCCACACAGGCTGGAATGTTATATACCGTCTTTCCCACTGTGTCTCAGTGTTACAGCATTGCCTGTCATGGACAGACACAGTATTTGTCAAATGAATACATACCTTTATTTTCATTTGGCTCAGTCATGTTAAAAAAATATTGGCTTATTTCCACTTGAATTACTTCATTCATTTCATAAAAACAAGAATTTCCCAGTTAACGCCCACTCATAGTTCAATAATAATGGATAATTGAGCTGTCTCAAACTTCAGCAGATTAATGTGCTGTACTCCTTTCATGTTCAGTTCAAATTCCTGGCTCAGGTCCCAGAAAAGGTCACCTGAGTTGCGATTGTTCATCCTGGAACTCTCTCCTTTCTGGGCTCTAAGGACTCATCCCAGGCCCCATGTCTTCTGTGACCCTTCACCCCACAGGACTGTCCTGCTCACCTTCCTTGTCCCTTGTGTTGCATTTATTGTACTAGTGGTTCCTAATTCCCTGGACGGGGGTGGCTGTGCAGGAGGCTGAGGCTGGAGCTGTGTTTACAGTGAGGTTACTACCTCCTTGAGCACACGGTAGAGATCTGTGTCTTTCATCTCTTCTAGGCTGTGGCCTGGGCTTTCACACAGCATTCGTCTTTGCACAGACCCTTGGCCTACACAACTAACACCGTTTTGCTGTTGTTTCTCATTTGGTTTCTTGTAAAAATGAGTGCCTGCTCTCAGCAGGACCTTGGTCCCGGGAAGACAGGACCCTAATTTTGGTTATGCTCAGTGGCACCGGGAGAGCTCAAGTCTCTTTCCAGGACGCCCCGAGCAGGAAGAGGGCTTCCCCTTTTGTTTGAGGTTGCGATCATCCTGTGAAGTCACTTTTAGCCAGAAATGGGCTGTCAAAATGCAAGAACCAGAACGCTTTGCCTTTCAGCAAAGATTTCCCCTCCGCAAAAGAGGGTGATTCTGACGGCTGAGATTATGCCTAATTTTAGCAGAGGCTACCAAAGAGACCCGAGACCACCTTCCTTCATACCCAGGAAACCATTTAACACCCTTTACCAGATAAATGATGATCTGTTAGCACGGTACCCTGACATCATCTTCCCTTGGAAAGTGGCTCGAATTTTGGAAGAAATCTTGCCCTTAGTGTAGAGACATGGTAAAAGTCTCACTTTTCTGAATTCCCTAACCTGTGGAGAAAGATGTCACTTTGGGGGACTTTGGCTAAGACACTCAAAGGAATGGTGACTTTTGAGGGACAAGCATGGGTCCTTGTACTGCTTCCTTAAGAAGAGTGCCCACAGAGACAGCTGAGCCGAGCTAGTGGGAGCTCACTGACTCTGGACTGACAGCTGGGAACTCTGCATAGGACCAAACGATGCCTGCTGAGTGTGGGTGACAGTTGTGTGACTTGGGTAGCCTGTGTGACCACTGGTAGTGGGGCCAGGATTTATCCCTAGTGCATGAACTGGCTTTTTGGAGCACATTCCCTGTGGAGGGATGCCTTGCTCAGCCACGGAGCAGCAGGGAGGGGCGTGGTCCTGCCTCAACTTGCTATGCCAGACTCTGTAGACTCCTCATGGGAGGCCTTACCCTTTCTGAGGAGTGGATGGAAATTGAGTGGGGGGAAATGAGGGGAAGTGGGAGGAGAGGAGGGAGGGGAAATTGTGGTTAGCATATAAAATTAAAAAAAACTTTTAAATAAAAGAATTTTAAAAAAAAAGAGTGCTCGAAAAGAACAAAAAAAATTTCTGCCTCTGATTCACTCTTGTGAGAGTTTTGACCACAGAGATAAATTCTACTTCATTTTGAAAGCCTTCCTACCTTTTAGTACTCTTTTCAAAGCACAAGTTTCCTGTGCAGAGGAAAACCGACAGGTGTGCGCAATCTTTTGATACTGTGATAC